ATAGCCTCTAGCAAGCCAATAAATATTCTCATGTTAAACGGAATTCGTGTAAATATTATACTCATCATTATAATTAGACACACCATACACGTCAGGGTCCACGGGGCGAAGCACATCATAAAATCAGGCTCGTACTTGTACTGTATGCTGTCGATATGCATTAACTGGAATTCATCCCGATCACAATCATTCTAAATAAAATAAATTTATTGTTATGATTGCTGTTGTCCAATCAAAATGTTTAGTTACCAACCAGCATAAGAGCAATAATACAAAAGTAAGATATAATGAAGTACATATATATACCGATGCGATTGATGAGACTGCGCTGTAAACTATCAGCGATTTTAAATAAGAAGCAGGTGAAAGGTGAGTATGTGTGTAACATTGTGGAATAGCGCCAATGGCAGATCTTCTTATACCAAGTTATAAATAACAGCATGGATAACGTAATTATAAGAACTATATCCACATAAACTGAGAAGTTGTCCTTTTTTTGGTTATAAAATAGTTGTACGTATATAAGAGTCATACCGCAGCACCAGGCTAGAAGAACACTGTATTTCAACATATAGTCGGGTTGGTGGATATACTTATATTCCAGTCGGGAATCATGAAAATGCAATAAAAAACTTCCAATTTCTGACTTGGCCGTAGTTGACTTTCCTTTTTGTTCTTTTTTGTGTTTAAAATTAAATATTTCATACACGACTTCTTTAAGTCTGTTTAAAGACATAATTTTAATGTGCAATGAGGTTAAATAAAATGACTCTTACCCTTTGGGACCAAGCGGCATCTTTTTCAATTCTTCATCTAAAGATAGCCCATTGTCATTTGTCTCTTTTATAGAGCATGTTGAGCCAAGATACTCAAAAGATTTAAATTCATTTGTTTTATTTTCATCAATACCGGTAATAAGGAATGTGACAACATTGAACTTGCGAAGGAAATGATCTTTGCGTGCTGTATCGGTGCCAGGATATACTTTGTACCTGTCGTCTGTCATTTGCAGAGTTCTTTCGCTAACATGAATTTGACCAGGCATACCAGTTGATTCCAATTGATTCGCAATTAAGACATCTGTACCTAATAAAATAATATATATAAACAACTGGAGGTTGGTGTAAATTTTGCTTACCCCAAATATCATATTGTAGTTTCGCTGCCCCTAGGACACCAGCAAACAATTCTCCCGAATGCACACCCACACGCATGTCGACGTCAATTTTTACTTTGTCTCTAAAATGTAGATAGATAGATAGATAGGTCAGAAGCTTAAAATCCTATTCGAAATACCCTATACTCAACCCGAATTGCATTTTCAAGCATTCTATACTGCTCGTATTTATGAACACATATACAATAACACCTGTGTTTTCAAATGTAGATGCACAAATAAATGTTCTTAAGTATATGAGTATAGAATATTAGGACTTACATTTTTAAAACTTCTTGTAAGTCAAAGAAAAACTTTATTTAAAAATTAAATATTCGTTCCCAAGAACTTTTAATAATTGAATGTTATTAACAGTTTGAAACAACCCTAATATAGTCCTATTATAGCTGAAGGTACGAGTAAAAATACGAGTTTTTAGTCTTTTAGTTACCAAGGTCGATGCAGCCATACAAATAACTACACGAATGGACATGGCTGTTTCTGAATCTACCACGTCTACACTTTTATATAACAAGTATATAGCATAATAGTGTAACATAAAGAAGAATCGTTATCTTCCTTGGTACTAACCGAATTTCTCGAATACTATCGATCATACAAAGACCTAAATCCACGCAGCATTTGGCATGGTTAGGATCTGGGTTTATAAGACCCGCTACACAATAGTAGCAGTCTCCTAAGAATTTGATTCGCTGCACAGCATACTTGGAAGCAGCCTTATCAAATCTGGCATATAAAGCGTGCAGTAAAGCGATAAGCCTCTTAACGGGTAACTTTGTGGTTAACATGGTGTAGTTAACTATATCTGCATACAGAATAGTGACGTCTGTATGAATTTGAATGGATATAATTCGACATGTTCTCCTGATAGAGGGCATTTTGTGTTGCTTTTCCATGGATTCAAGTCGCTTTCGAATATCATCTTGAATGGGCTCTGCTATCTGCGGTGGCAGTATGCTATGCAAAAATACTCTTTCCTGCGCACGTGCGCTCCTTAACGTAGTATCCTCCATTACATACTGATGTCGATCAAGGAGCGAGGCGCGCACAACTATCTCGCGCATTACGCGAAAATAGGTACCCATCATATTTAGGCAAATATAGTTGCATAACTCAACAATAAATTGGTTGAAACGTGTCGTATAACCCATTTTTTTTCGGTGCTCAACGCCAAGATAGAATCCAAAGTAAGTTATATACGTTATAGTCACAGAAAACGCAAGCATCGTCGCAAGCACATATGGAATCGGGAAAAACATATAAATCATTAATATAATGTATACATCAAAGATTGTTTCCAATATCCAATCACTATTTCGATTATGGAAATAATTAAGCAGCAGATCTGAATAAGTGATATTAATATTTATAATGTTAAATAATAAAAAATAAAAAAGATACCAACCAACTGAAACAATAGCCATCACGGCAATCATCGATGTAAGGGACATCATAAATTTATGTCTCATCACAAATTCCACATTTATGTTAGGCCACATTACTGCAATGATGACAGCGGTCAATGCTACATAGCAGAAAACGTCTATATATATTAAATCCAGGTACTGTGCACACAGATAATTTATCAATCATTATTTAAACAATGCAGAGCCACCCTCTCACCACACAGGTCGTCAATAACAAAGTGCAATGCAATATTGTGAAAAACAAATGCAGCATAAGAAACACGCCGACGTAGTTAGCCCGGAGACGCATCTGGTGAGCATCGAATTTATCTTCAATACCCGCATCTTTACACTTCTTCTGAAAATGTTGGAGTTTGTATATATATATAAATATAATACAGTTGGTGGCATTCATTAATTTAGAATGTGGGGTACCGTTAAAAATCCATAGTCCCATTTTATTTCCTTTGTATAATTCAATTGACAAATCATTTTTTAAAAATAAAAAATATCAACATAATAATAGGAAAAAAAAAACAAACAAACAAACCAAAAAACTAATTATTCAAAGAGTAGATGATATAATAGTTCTAAACAGAAAAAAAACACATATTCAAGGAGTAGGTGATACAGTAATTTGAAAAATATATAATGATGCAGGCCGAATTGGCATGGGCAGGAAATGCATCAGCCGCTAGGTCCGCAGTTTCTTATAAGCTGAATATGATATTTTTATTTTAGCGTAAATTTATTTGTCGTTAACTCTTCCCCGTTTGATTTACTCTTGTCCTCAAGTGGTTTTCTAAAGGAATGGGAGATTTTGGTTTTCGGGTTTCCGCATGTTTATTATCGTTGCGATGTTTTTGGCGCATGTCTGTTTCTGGTCAAGTTGTAGGATGACTTCCTTATCATCAGATGTAATAAGAAACTGATGGCGGTTATAAACAGAGTGATGAATGCACTTGGATCTTTTGCATGACTTTGATGTTGTTGACGTGCAACTCCTCGAGTGCCTTCAATGAGAGAATTCTTATGCGTTCGCTTTCCATTGATGTTATCTGTATTATCGGACTTTCACGTTTCATTACTGAGACCTCGATATTACTAAAGGTTTTTCCATTGATAACTAAGGTCTCGTTCCAAAAACTTAACAAGTACGAGCATCTTAGATACTTCCTTCTTTCTGGCTTTCGATGGTTGCCTTGAAGCCGTTTAGTAGGATTAATCCATCGTCGATTTCTTCTAGTTCTGGGACGTGGTGCATTGCTAAAGTCGCACAGTGATAATCTTAGATATACAACTATCTCTAGTTCAGTTAATAATTTTTGTTTTATCGCAAATTTGTTTGTTATTAAAGTTCTTGCAGTTATTTAATATACCATAGAGCTCGTTTTTAGACTCATTCATGAAAGTGAAATGAGTATATTGGTTTTGTGCAATGTCCGTCTTGATGTCCGTCCGTCCGTCCGTCTGTCCGTCTGTCCGTATGAACGCAATCTATATACATACTCGTGTATATCTCCGATTTATAGTGTTAAAATTTTCCCGATCCTCCCACTAGGGGCGTGACAAATCGGAAAATGCATTTTCCGACATACCAGAAAGCATATTTGTTGACGAGCTTGTAAGCTGAAATTTGGTATGTAGGTCCGCGGCAACCACCCAAGATCACGAGCTATGGCGGATATATCTCCGCCCATTGGGGGCGTGGCAAATCGAATAAAACCGTATCTCCAAGAGTTTTACAGATAGAGCGCTGAAATTTTGCACGTCAGCTAATGTTATGATTCTTCAAAGTCTAAAGATAAAATTTCATGTCTACGCCCATTAGGGGCGTGGCAAATCGGACCTGAAGATATAGTGATTTTTTTAATTCTGCTATATTTTGGACACTATTGATGCCAGAGACCTCAAATTTTGTGTATATACTCGGGCTGATCACCAAAGACCAAAAAGATATATGTCCGTCCACTGGGGGCGTGGTAAACCGCAAAAGTTTATACCTCCTGAAGAATAATAGCTAGATGCTTCAAATTTATATAGTTAAGTTACCAGTAAGCTCCTCTATTGATGACTCAAAAATCATTTTTACGCCTGTAATTTTCACATTATTTAAGGGTAAGCATTCAAACTTTGCAGTTAGGGTACCGTTATCACGATCTAAGAACTGACCAAAAATGAAGTGTCTACGCCCAGTAAGGGCGTGGCAAATCGGAAAATACTGTATTTTCTACAGTATTAGAGCGAAACTTAACTACTAAATTGTTGATGGGATGTGAATGAGTATTCCGCAGTCGGTAACGCCGACAACAACAACTTTTACAATATGAGTTTAGGTGTGTTTAGGTGGCTAAGGATAGCGCACGATGCTTGTGGGACGGCCGTAAAGCATTGCTTCGCAAGCACTTTGCACTCGCTTAGCTTGGGACAGCTCTTCGCTCGATTCTGCGAAGCTCCATCATGATTCTGGTCGCGAAGGTGCTTATAAGCAAACTTATAAGTTTCCAAGCTGCCTCCGATTCCAACATCACGTTGACCATGTTGTCCGCTTTAATGGAGCGGCCCAATGCTTCTTCCAGACAACGCCTCTCTTCTAGGAAGCGTCCACATTCGAATAAGACATGGTTGGCGTCCTCCACCAGACCTCGTCCGCACCAAGAGCATTCGTCGGTTTCATCGTGGCCAAAGCGCTTTAAGTAGCTCTGAAAGCACCCATGTCCCGAAAGAATCTGTGAAAGATAAAAATTAACCTGTGTTTGCGGTTTACCCATGGCTCAAGCTCCGGGATGAGAGTATAGTTAGTTGAGCTGTTCCACCTTCTTTGCCATCGTGCAATGCTGTTCGTTCTGATATCGTTGCGTCGTATAGGCTCGTGTGCATTCCGTTCCACGGCTTCGGCTTCTAAGTCCTCCAATGTCACCATGCTGGCTATGACGAGCGCCGCGTCGTCAGAGACTGTTCTGAATGCGCAGCAGACTCTGATTGCGCTCAGTCTGTAGGTGGCGCAAATGCCCCGGCTGCAGCTCGGCGTTGTAATCGCTCTTGCCCATGTTGGCGCAGCATAGAGGATGACGGAGGATGACGCTCATTAGAAGGAGGCGTCGTTGCTGTTTTGCTCCCCGCGTGTTAAGCATAATTAAGAAACTAGCTGTGTTGAAGGCGTTCTTAACATCCAGGGTCGCGATGATGCAGTATTGCTTCGTCCCGTGCCTCCATCTGATGCCTTGGATGGCGGAAGTTGCCAGGCAACAACTTTTTCTAGAGTATCTGTTGTTGACCGGGCCTTCCAGAATCCAAATTGATTTGGTGATAGGTCTCCGGCGCTAGCAATAGCAGTCTCCAGTCTAGAGCAGATCAATTTCTCAAACACCTTTCCTATGGTGTCTAAGAGGCAGATCGGTCTGTATGAAGATGGCTCGTCTGGTGGTTTGCCAGCCTTGGGTAGCAATACCAGGTTCTGGGTCTTCCATTTTGCAGGGAACGTCTCTTGTATTAATCATTCGTTGAATAATTCGGCGAACGTACTAGGTTGCAAGGCGAGGGCTAGCTTTAGCGTACGATTTGGGATCCCGTCCGGCCCTGGAGCTGTGTTGGTTCTAAGACCTCTAAGAGCTACTAAGATTTCCTCGTCTGTAACTAAAACAATTTGAGTGCTCGTTGAGCTCTGATCAGCAGCCTCGAACAAAGGGGCATGAATGGAGCTTAATCGTTCTGGAAAGAGCGTTTCCACAATTGATCGATCCATAGGCTGCACCTGTCTACCTGAGTATAGTCTTTTAACTACTATCTTATATGCCCTGCCCCAAGGGTCATATTCGGCTGAGTCCCACAACTCTAAGAAGCATTCTCTTTTGCTTGTCCGAATGGCCTTCTTCAACTGTCTTCTAGCTACCTGGTAAGGTAATTGTTTCTCAAAAAACGTGGACCACCGCGAGCCCATTGGTAGCTTCTTCTCGCCTGGATGCATTTGCGTCGAATGTCACCTATTTGTGCATTCCACCAACACATAGTCTCCTGTTGTCGCGTGAACTGTTTGCGACGTAACATGCTTCTATTGCAGGCACTCTGACTGAAGGTGAACTCGTGGCCAGTGTTGAGCAGTGAAACATCTACTGTTGCGAAGATCTCCCGTAGGATACGGCCTCCGGCATTTGTTGTGTGGCTGCCCCATTCTAACGCCCATGAATTAAAATCTCCTGCTATAATGGCCTTCCGACCCAACATCCTCGGCAAGCTCGTCTAGCACCGTTGTGAATTCACTGAGCTGCATGCTGGCCATACCATATCGGCCACGTACGAACTCATTGAATGACTTAACATCCGAAAGTACATTCGCTGAGTTGCCACATACCCACAACACAGCTTTGCCATTGTCGTCTGTTGCCCATGTTCTATGGGCACTGAGAAAGGTTACGTCTATACATTTTTCCCTTATGGTCTGCTCTAAAAGATCTTGGGCAGCAACACAGTGATTTAAGTTAAGCTGAAGAAACCTTAACATTTCATTTTACGTGCAGCTTCACGGTAGGATGGGCACTTGAAGCTGCCTGCTGAGTGGTCCGTCTGCTTTTCACCTTTCCGGATGCAGAGGCTACATTTTGGTGGCTTAGTGCATGCTTTTGCACTGTGACCCATCTCTCCACACCTGAAACAGACACAGTCGCTGCCGCAGTTTGCTGCCATATGACCGTAATCAAGGCACTTGAAACAGCGTTTAGGCTGATCCACGGCGCGGATACGGCATACAACCCATCCAATTCTGATTTTGGACGGCTAGAGCAGAGTGTTGGCTTTTCCAATTGCTTGCCCATGTTGGCGCAGCATAGAGGATGACGGAGGATGACGCTCATTAGAAGGAGGCGTCGTTGCTGTTTTGCTCCCCGCGTGTTAAGCATAATTAAGAAACTAGCTGTGTTGAAGGCGTTCTTAACATCCAGGGTCGCGATGATGCAGTATTGCTTCGTCCCGTGCCTCCATCTGATGCCTTGGATGGCGGAAGTTGCCAGGCAACAACTTTTTCTAGAGTATCTGTTGTTGACCGGGCCTTCCAGAATCCAAATTGATTTGGTGATAGGTCTCCGGCGCTAGCAATAGCAGTCTCCAGTCTAGAGCAGATCAATTTCTCAAACACCTTTCCTATGGTGTCTAAGAGGCAGATCGGTCTGTATGAAGATGGCTCGTCTGGTGGTTTGCCAGCCTTGGGTAGCAATACCAGGTTCTGGGTCTTCCATTTTGCAGGGAACGTCTCTTGTATTAATCATTCGTTGAATAATTCGGCGAACGTACTAGGTTGCAAGGCGAGGGCTAGCTTTAGCGTACGATTTGGGATCCCGTCCGGCCCTGGAGCTGTGTTGGTTCTAAGACCTCTAAGAGCTACTAAGATTTCCTCGTCTGTAACTAAAACAATTTGAGTGCTCGTTGAGCTCTGATCAGCAGCCTCGAACAAAGGGGCATGAATGGAGCTTAATCGTTCTGGAAAGAGCGTTTCCACAATTGATCGATCCATAGGCTGCACCTGTCTACCTGAGTATAGTCTTTTAACTACTATCTTATATGCCCTGCCCCAAGGGTCATATTCGGCTGAGTCCCACAACTCTAAGAAGCATTCTCTTTTGCTTGTCCGAATGGCCTTCTTCAACTGTCTTCTAGCTACCTGGTAAGGTAATTGTTTCTCAAAAAACGTGGACCACCGCGAGCCCATTGGTAGCTTCTTCTCGCCTGGATGCATTTGCGTCGAATGTCACCTATTTGTGCATTCCACCAACACATAGTCTCCTGTTGTCGCGTGAACTGTTTGCGACGTAACATGCTTCTATTGCAGGCACTCTGACTGAAGGTGAACTCGTGGCCAGTGTTGAGCAGTGCAACATCTACTGTTGCGAAGATCTCCCGTAGGATACGGCCTCCGGCATTTGTTGTGTGGCTGCCCCATTCTAACGCCCATGAATTAAAATCTCCTGCTATAATGGCCTTCCGACCCAACATCCTCGGCAAGCTCGTCTAGCACCGTTGTGAATTCACTGAGCTGCATGCTGGCCATACCATATCGGCCACGTACGAACTCATTGAATGACTTAACATCCGAAAGTACATTCGCTGAGTTGCCACATACCCACAACACAGCTTTGCCATTGTCGTCTGTTGCCCATGTTCTATGGGCACTGAGAAAGGTTACGTCTATACATTTTTCCCTTATGGTCTGCTCTAGAAGATCTTGGGCAGCAACACAGTGATTTAAGTTAAGCTGAAGAAACCTTAACATTTCATTTTACGTGCAGCTTCACGGTAGGATGGGCACTTGAAGCTGCCTGCTGAGTGGTCCGTCTGCTTTTCACCTTTCCGGATGCAGAGGCTACATTTTGGTGGCTTAGTGCATGCTTTTGCACTGTGACCCATCTCTCCACACCTGAAACAGACACAGTCGCTGCCGCAGTTTGCTGCCATATGACCGTAATCAAGGCACTTGAAACAGCGTTTAGGCTGATCCACGGCGCGGATACGGCATACAACCTATCCAATTCTGATTTTGGACGGCTAGAGCAGAGTGTTGGCTTTTCCAATTGGAAGAGTAACTGTAGCTCTTTGCTGTCCACCAAAAGCCGGTCGAAGCGACTTGATAACCTCAATGGGGAGTGAGCTATCCTTCAACTCTGCCCTAATTGACTCCAAGATCTCCTCTTTGCTCGCTAACTCATCTAGGTCACGAATCTCAATTTGAGCCGATTCGGTAAGTGTCTTAACTACCGCTCGGTCACCCAAGGCCTTACCTACAGCTTTGTGAAGGGCCTCAGCACTATGCTCCGGCTTTCTGCTCAGTTGCAACAAAAGGTCCCCTTTAGCTGTCTTCCTAATGCCTTGAACGTCGCCGTTCAGATGCTTTAGATTTGGGTCGGTCTTGACTACACGAAGCATGTCCGCATAGCTGCAACCACCCACGCCTGAAATCGCGATTGCGTCACTTCTGGGTCGTTTTTGCATGGGCTTGCGTCCTTTAACGACTGTCCAGCTGTTCGGGTTTGTCTGTCAACCTGCCTGATTTGAACTTTCAGCTGTAGCCCGTAGAGCAATTGACTCTTTTGGGTTCGCTGCGCCTTTATTGGGCCTCGGCTTTTGGCACTCAGCCACTGGGGACTGATTAAAGGTCCACGGCTGCGGCAGCGCCCTCTGTTGTTGCTGCGGTGATCGCTGCAACGAGGAACGACGCGCGAAAGCTTGCAGCTCGTCCTCCATCTTGGCATCCATTTTTTGCTCCGACTACAACGACGTGAAGCCTGTAGTGGGCAATGGCTACTAATAAAATTTGAGTTTACAGACCGCAGTATCTTAAACTCAGCTTAACTACAGCAAGAGCCCGAAAGTATGCACTACTTTTAGTAACTGCGTCTTCACTCCAGATGTTAGGTTGCTGTCTTTGCTAAGACTTAGCAACTCACCAAAGTTAGTGAGCAGCTGATTGTCCGCTGCAATTTCCAGCACTACTTTTCCTGATTATTCCTTGTCTCTCCATTTCTTTGATTTGGTTCCCAGCTTCTTCCCCATGTTTTGGGGGTATCTATATAGTTTGGAATTTAGCTATTCATCGGTAGTCGTTCGTATCTCGTGTTCTATTTCTGTCGTGCTAGTAAGGTCGTCACCCTCTCTAAAAAATAATGTTGCGAATTTTTCGATTATTTTTTGTATTTCTTTTCTTTCTTCCGTATTTAGACGTCCCAGTTGTAAATTTTCTAACGTCGTGTCTGTCTGTTCTAATGTACCTATTTCTTCATATACAAGTTATTTGGATGAGTCTGTCCAACGATGAGTTGATGAGATGATAATCAGTCCCACGATGCTTGATGCTGCGAGGTGGCTGATGAGAGGCGTTATCGGTATTTATAGCTCGATAAAAGGATCTTGGTGCTTTAGCTCAACTGGTACAATGTCCCCGACACAATTGAAACACAAATTGTTTACTCGAATTAATATTTATTGAAAAGCTGGCGTTAGCTTCGGACTCTCAAACAGAACTGATTTTCCGCTCTAAGGCGAGTCGGAAAGAGGCTATTCACAACATACAATTGTCAAGCTTAAGCTACCCACTATAGCTGACACAGCATAAGCTACAATGTCATAGTCGGCAAGCCGACTTCAGTATAAGCGATAACGCCGCTCTTACGACATGCGAAATGGATCAGGTTACCGTCGCTGGCCGCTGCGATCAGGGCACTGTTTAGCCAATGATACATAAAGTCTTAAGTTGCTACGCGCGAGGGGCACTCGTTAACTTAAAACTACGGGCGTCCTCGTTCATCTTGAAGCTGTTGACAATCCTTTGCATTTTCATTGAAGTCTGCCTTCTTCTCAATCCTAGGTAGAGTAGAATGGAACCGCAGCATACGAAGGCTGATCACTACTCCAATGCTGAACCATACCTTTGGCGACCCTGCAGATCTTACTTTTTCTTCTAACTCCTGAATGACGTGAAGATTGTTGTTGTTCATTCCATGGAGGATACTGAGTACCGGATCATGGCTGATGATGTTGATTAATGGGGAAGCCGCTATGCCCGGTAACTTCTCCAGAGCTTCGCGACGATTTGCAAACTTGGTACCGTCTATGATGGCCATGTATTCATAGGTGATGAGATAAGTGTCATTGACCTGTATCTCTGGACCGTCATCGGTGCTAACTCGTGCTGGGCTTTCGTTTATTACCATGATGCCGTCGTCCACATAGGTGATGGGTGCCAGGTGGCTGGGTTGCGTATAGCATTGCGCCTTGCCACCCGCATGCAGAGCCTGTGCGCAGGTATCGCGAGATGCTATCTTGCAAAACGATGTGTGTGTTGTTGGAGTGCAGCTGGAGACCGCCAGGACGTCGTTTTCGTATTCCGCTACGGTATCGTCTTGGAGTTGAAGAACGGTGTGCTCATGTGAAACCTGAAGAATGATGACCTTTTTACATACAGATTTAATTCTAGGGTAATTTATTAGTACATGGATTATGTTCTCGGACTGGAGGACTTTAATATTGGATGCTTCCAATAGACTTACTATAGGAACACCTGTGGGATGCTCAACTAATACGGATGTTAAGTCGTCGTGATCAAATATTGTAGGATTAATTGTATTTGATTTAGCAAGTGTGATTGTAAGCATTAAATTTTGAACCTCAGTTATCAACATTCTATTCCTAACCAAAAGTATCTCATATAAATGCGAAGTGTCGATTAGCTCTTTTTTTTTTGTCTTGATTATTTGATTTACTGTATCGGTTAACTGGTTTATTTGTTTTTGGGTTTCTGTATTTATCTCTACCTTTCTGTTGTTTGATTCAATTAACTTTGACTCTGTTATCTTAATTTTTTTCAAATCTGATGCGTCGGGTGTGCCAGCCACAACTTTTAGCACTGTCCCTAAAAAATCTAAGCTTCTGGCAATCCTGTGGTGTACTTTCCATACGTCAAAAGGTTTCTCAGATGGTCTGTATCAACATCTAATAACTTCCTCATATGAGACTGAGGATACAACTCGGAAAACTCTTCACGTTGTTCCCATACCAGTACGTCCCCGTCTACAACAGGAATGTACTTGGAATGCGAATAATTGGTGATCCGAGCATTTACCGTCGCCAGCAAGATTAAGACTGGCTTAACGATCCTGTGAGGGGAAAGAAATTTTAAATCTATGAATTCCTTAATTTTATCACTAATCTATTAAATTCTCCCCTTGGCTTGGGATGCACCATGGATGGACTTAAGACAAAAATGAGGACTTCAATTGGTTCCGAAACTTGCACTTTTATTATTAGTCGGATCAAAATAAGACTGTCACATTATGAGACCAGAACCGTTCCACGCTTGGCCACAATGTTGGACCCAAGGTTCAAAAAAGAAGCTTTTGGAAATGCTGTCAATGCTCAAGAAGCCTCGACAATTTTAGAAACGGAAGTGAAGAGCATAATAAATGTTGAGGAAAATGACCCAGTAACTGATTTACAGCCAACGCACCCTGACAATGTTCTTACATTTTTGGCCGATAGAATTCAGCGGAAACAACGAACTTTTATGTCGGATGCAATAAGTGCCATGAGGCAATACATTGAGGAGAGAAATGCTGATCATAATATTGACCCCTTGGAGTACTGGAAGGTAAATTTGTAATGAAATTTATAAAAATAACAATCTAAACATTTAAAACATTGCAGATTAATGCGAAACATTTTAGTCACGTGGCACAGTGCGCTCGCGAGTACCTTTGTGTTCCGGCAAGCTCCACCGAGTCGGAGAGAACTCAGTAAAGCTGGGGAAATTATTGGCAAACAAAAAATGTGGACGTCTTACTGTTCTTAAATAAAAACACCTGTCTCCTAGATGGGTAGCTTTAATATTATATTTGTTGAAGATTTTCTTTTTAAGTTGCTTAAATACTTTTAAGTTTGAATACTGTTTTTATTTCTTTTTTATCTTATATTACATTCCATTACATATTTACCTATTACTGCTATGAAAATTATGAATGAATCTATTTTTAAGTTGCTTCAAATGTTGGTTTTTGTTTTCGTTTTATATAAATATACAACAGTTATAAATAATAGCTGTAAATGAAGTCAGAAACATTTTTAATACCGTTCTATAAATGCAGACTTTAAGAAAAAATGGAGTAAATTGTAATTATTTTAAATTTTCGATAGTACTATCGATAATATCGATGGTTTTCACCATCGGATGTGAAAAATCGATGGCATCACTATCGATAGTTTTTCATCCCTAGTTCAGGGTATCTCCTGACTAGGAGAGCAGTCTCGACTGGAGCCTTCTTGCTTGTTTAAATTCATTGGTAGACGCACCTCAATCGGTTTTTTGCCTGTTACAGAATGTGAAGTGGTGGTGCATTCACAATGTCTTTTCCATATCTGTCTTTTAATAATGAGGTTATTGTCTCTGAATTAAAAGACGCCTCATTATCGCAGTATATTACTTTCGTTTTTGGGAAGAAGTTGATGGCTTGGACGATAGGAATTTTTTTATGGTTGTACCATTGCAAACTTTGAAAATTTGTCGATACATGTTAAAAACTGCTGTTTGTCAATGTTGTTGTCAATGTGTAATATCTCGTCAGGGTATGATGGGATTGGTGTTTCTCCCAGAACATGTTTTTATACCCTGAACCCATTGAAAATGGGAAATCGGGGTATAATGGTTTTGTTAAAAGTATGTAACAGGCTGTAATGCTTAAAGGTCTCTTTTGATTTTTGGTATTAATTATACCCTGAACCCATTTTCAATGGGAAATCAGGGTATAATGGTTTTGTTGAAATGTATGTAACAGGCAGAAGGAGGAGTGGCAGACCCCACAAAGTATATATATTCTTGATCAAGGCGACGAGCTGAGTCGATTTGGCCCTGTCCGTCTGTCCGTATGTTTGAACGCGTCGATTTACGAAGATATAAGAGCTAGAGACTTGAATTTTCTTTTTAAATGACCGTATATACAGCGCGGACGTCGAGTTTGCTTTTAAAATTCGATAAATCATCCCGTTATGTTTTTATCGAGTAAAAACATTCAAGTTCAATTCAGATGCCACTATCGTTAATTGTGAATGATTTTTCATTTTTTTAAATTTCTCAAATATTCAATATAATATGTAGATCATATGCTAAAAGTTTCATTAAATTCAGTTCAGTCAAAAATTAATAAAAAATAATCAAATATTTGGCCAATTAACAAACGCACGTGCAGCAGCTACAACAGCATCGTATGCGTGTGCACACATACACTCAAACTTCTAGAAACATTCGTTGAATCACATCAGCTGTTAGTTTCGTTTAGTTTTGGTAGATGGCGCTGCAGCAGTGAATCTATTTGAGTTTTGCCAGCGCCACTTGCAGAAGTGAGGTGGCGTAGTGTGTTAGCTGCATGACGCTTGATCGAGAAGTCGCGGTTCGAATCCCGATTGGTGCAGCTGATGTTAATTTTTTTTAATTGTTTCAAAATATTTTTTTATTTTTATAAATGAATTTTCTATTTAATTTATATTTTTAAATACACCGAAATTGAAATTTTAACCATACTTAATGTGCGTTTTTAATAGTTTGGTTATTCTAGCAGATTCTTAGAATCACATCAGAAGTTAGTTTCGTTTAGTTTTGGTAGATGGCGCTGCAGCAGTGAATCTATTTGAGTTTTGCCACCTCCATTTGGCAAAGTGAGGTGGCGTAGTGTGTTAGCTGCATGACGATCGATCGAGAAGTCGCGGTTCAAATACCGATCGGTGCAACTGATGTTAACTATTTTAATTGATTCAAAATATTTTTATATTTTTATACCCTGAACCCATTTTCAATGGGAAATCAGGGTATAATGGTTTTGTTGAAATGTATGTAACAGGGAGAAGGAGGCGTGGTAGACCCCACAAAGTATATATATTCTTGATCAGGGCGACGAGCTGAGTTGATTTGGCCCTGTCCGTCTGTCTGTCGTCCGTCTGTCCGTCCGTCCGTCTGTCCGTCTGTCCGTATGTATGAACGCGTCGATTTCAGAAGATATAAGAGCTAGAGACTTCAAATTTTTTTTTAAATGTTCGTAATTACAGCGCGCATATCAAGTTTATCATTAAAAATCGATAACTCATCCCGATCTTTTTTATCGATAAAAAACCTTATCGAAAACCAGTTATAAAATTATATCTTCTACACCTTTATTGCTAGAGTCTCCAAATTTTTAATGTATGCTTATATGCAATTTATACAATTTCGGTTTTTGTTAAAATTTACCCCCCACCCTTAAATTCACCCCCTCACCCTCACTTTTGCAAAAAGCGTATTTCAATAACTAGAGACTTGTGCTTTAGCAATTATATGCATATCCATGTCATAATCATAATCTAAAAGTTTCATGAAGATCGTACGTCCACAAAAAAGTTATTAAGCAATTAAGTTCTCAGAGTAATCGCTCACTGCCGCCCATGCGTGTTTATGCTTGTGTGTGTATATGTATGTAATTGTTTGTGTATGTGTGTGTGTGTGTATGTGTGTATTATGTGTGTGTATGTATGCCTGTGTGTGCGTGCGTGTGTGTGCGTGTTTCTTGTGTAAGCTGAAAGACGCGAAAAATTATTGAAATAGCTATTACTCCAAGGGTTCAGGGGATCTCGTAGTCGAGTAGTCTCGACTAGAGCTTTCTTACTTGTATTAAATGAGTTTGGTATTTTATTTATATTTTTAAAATTTAAATACATCAAAATTGAAATTTCAGACATACTAAATGGGCATTTTTATACCCTGAACCCATTTTCAATGGGAAATCAGGGTATAATGGTTTTGTTGAAATGTATGTAACAGGCAGAAGGAGGCGTGGCAGACCCCACAAAGTATATATATTCTTGATCAGGGCGACAAGCTGAGTTGATTTGGCCCTGTCCGTCTGTCTGTCCGTCTGTCCGTCCGTCCGTCTGTCCGTCTGTCCGTCTGTCCGTATGTATGAACGCGTCGATTTCAGAAGATATAAGAGCTAGAGACTTCAAATTTTTTTTAAAATGTCCGTAATTACAGCGCGCATATCAAGTTTATCATTAAAAATCGATAACTCATCTCGATCTTTTTTTATCGATAAAAACCCTTATCGAAACCCAGTTATAAAATTATATCTTCTACACCTTTATTGCTAGAGTCTCCAAATTTTTAATGTATGCCTATATGCAATTTATACAATTTCGGTTTTTGTTAAAATTTACCCCCCACCTCTAAATTCACCCCCTCACCATCACTTTTGTAAAAAGCATATTTCAAATACTAGAGACTTGTGTTTTGGCAATTACATGCATATTCATGTTATAATTATAATCTAAAAGTTTCATGAAGATCGTACGTCCATAAAAAAAGTTATTAAACAATTATGTTCTTATAGTAAGCGCACACTGCAGCCCATGCGTGTTTATGCGTGGTTGCTTGTATGTGTGTGTATGCGTTTGTGTCTGTATGCGTGTGTGTGTGTATGTGTGTCTGTATGCGTGTGTGTGTATGTATACCTGTGTGTGCGTACGTGCGTGTGTGTGTGTGTGTATGTGCGTGTTTCTTGTGTAAGCTGAAAGTCGCGAAAAAGTATTGAAATATCTATTGCTCCAAGGGTTCAGGGGATCTCGTAGTCGAGCAGTCTCGACTAGAGCTTTCTTACTTGTTATTTGTTAGGTTCAGGGTAGTATCTAGTCGAGCACTCTCGACTAGAGTTTTCTTACTTGTTATACTCATTCACGAAAGTGAATCATTATACTCATTCACGAAAGTGAATCAGTATATTGGTTTTGTGCAATGTCCGTCTTGCTGTCCGTCCGTCTGTCCGTCTGTCCGTATGAACGTAATCCATTTCGACGCTATTGAAGCTAGAGACTTGAAATTTGGAACACATACTCGTGTATATCTCCGATTTATAAAGTGTTAAAATTTTCCCGATCCGCCCACTAGGGGCGTGGCAAATCGGAAAATGCATTTTCCGATATACCAGAAATCATGTTAGTTGAAGAGCTAGAAAGCTGAAATTTGGTATGTAGGTCCGCGTTGACCACCCGGATATATCTTCGCCGATTGGGGGCGTGGCAAATCGGATAAAATTGTATCTCCTAAAGTTGTAAACCTAGAATGCTGAAATTTTGCACGTCAGCTAATGTTATGATTCTAAAAAGTCAAAAGACAATTTATAAGTCTACGCCTATTAGGGGCGTGGCAAATCGGACCTGAAGATATAGTAATTTTTTAAATTCTGCTCTATTTTGGACACTATTGATGCCAGAGACCTCAAATTTTGTATATATACTCGGGCTGACCACCCTAGACCAAAAAGCTTCGACGGATATATGTCCGCCCACAGGGGACGTGGCAAACCGCACAAGTTGATATCTCCTAAAGTATAATAGCTAAAACCTTCAAATTTAGAGAGTTAATTTACCAGTAACCTCTTACCTATAACCTATCGATGACCCATCGATGACAAAAATAATTTTTACGCCTCTTTAGGGGTGTGCCATATCGAAAAATACCCTGTAATTTTAACATTTTTTGAGAGTAAGCAAACTTTGCAGTTAGTGTACCGTTATTACGTTCTAAAAACTGACCAAAAATTAGGCGTCTGCGCCCAGTAGGGGCGTGGCAAATCGGAAAAACCTATATATTCTACAGTATTAGAGCGAAACTTAACTACTATATTGTTGATGGGATGTGAATAAGTATTCCGCAGTCGGTAACGCCCGACTGCAACGTTCTTACTTGTTTTATTAAAACATTGAGGAGGCAGCAGTGGTGCCGCTTCCAACGCTCAGTTGTATCTGACCTTAAACATTCTACTTAGGTTCTAAATAAGCCTAAGTCTCGTTGCTGCGATACATAAGGTTTGGGCAGCAGAGAGAGACAGTTATGTATATTTCTTATATATTATATATGTATATGTTATATGTGTATTTATGCTCTCTTAAACTGGAGCGATAGTGCATATGCATACACTTGAGTTCTGTCAAGTGGTCGACG